AATAGCTCGGATGCCTCTATCGCGAAAAATTCTCAGCTGCTTGGCGTCTTCTCCGTTTAAAAAACATCATTGCATTTCAGAATGCCCTTGAAAATGGTCCGTCTGCCGTTGCGTTCCTTTATCTGTTTGTTTCCCGCACAGCTTGATTATATTCTAGTATTAACTAGATAATAACCGACCCCTTATTGGCTTCCTCTCATAATTTTCAATTGACTAATGCTAAGGTATATATTTTTCTGCGAAGCTCTGTCCTAGTTCTACACGATGGATCTCATTGTTTTGCTCGGACCACAAGAACTTGGTGATGATGTCCATACTGTGAAGGCAACCTGTAAGTGAAGGTTATAGTTTTAGCTAACAATTACTCCCGTTTAAATGTAGCTCAAGGCGCCCTATTTTGAACTCAGTAATTCACTTTTGAGTAACATACTCGACCAAGGAGCCCAGATTGTTTCGGCAGCTCCTTGAACTCGATGGAAGACGACCCAGGTATGTGGAAGCTGTTATTTCTACACAGCCCCACATACGTTTTTTCAAATCAAAGCGATGCTTTATAATCTAAATAGAGGAAGACAATCAGAGACACAGTTTCATAGAGCAAGCTTTTTCAACGGTATAGATCGCCAAATTCAGTAAAAAACATTACAAAACCACCGTAGTAAATAAAGGCAACCACTACTTATTAACGGCCTAATCGATGTGATTCAATGAAACTTGAACTGGAAACGTATTTTTTTAATTGATCCTTATCTAATTTTCTTTGCTCCTCTATCGGCGAATTATTACCATCCAATAAAACGAAAACGGCGACAACATCAACGTCCTACATATGTCTCAAACAAACCACAATATATATATATAGTATACAGTCGTCTAACAACGAAAACCGTGGTACGTATTTAAAAGTAACATAGTACGATATTACATTCTATCAACATGTCTCATAGCAACGCGCCACCTCGCTCTTTCTGTCTTTATCGATCAGGTTCTCTCACCTACCTTTGGAGGAATAATGCAAGGCATGACTTCCTTTATTTTTCTAGACACATATATACACACAATCATATATATATATATATCTCTGTATATGTAAGATGTTTTTGAGTATTGTTTCTGAGCGTATTATCACGCTTCATACCGAAGTTTCGATGATCTGACTGACATCGAGTCCGATCAATTTTTCCAATTGTAGTGATCACACGCTTCTCTGTCGATTTCTTTTTGTCTCACTAATGCCATATAGTATTCTCTTCTACGAATATATGTTTTGTTTTGTCTATGCTTGTATATATTACGTAATATGTTTTGAAGTACCATTTTCTCTGTCTGTCTTTCTTCTCTTCTTTTTCACGTCCTTACGATGTTGTGTATTTTTCTTATGTGTTTGTCTATTTACTCACGTGTATTTAAGTTCGTCATATTGGATCAATTTGTTTGGCTCGCTAGCACTCGTCACCTCTGTTCATACCTCCTTTAAAACACCCTTACTAAATACGAATTAGTACTTCTAAATTTTATTGTATCATAGTTACTGTATAATCCTCCGCTGTGAACCACTTTCAGCCGAATGTAGAGCAGCAGTTGGTGTCGTTTCGCCTTGAATCGTCTCGTGCTCGACAGAAGGGGTCCACTACGAATTGCTATCGTCCAGTTCGAAGTTTTCGTCCGCGGATTTTCATAAAAAAAATCCTACGTCATCTCGATTTATTTGCATTTTTCTATAACTCCATCATATCAGTGGTTACTTATTGCTGTGTTATGCTCTTTCTTTCCAGTAGTAAATTCTACTTCAATCCCTCTACGAGCCGCCTTTGCCCCCTTTCTCTCCGTTTTCTATTATACATATACGTATGTATACGCACTATCTATATATATGTATCTGTTGCACATATGTAATACGACATAACACTGTTGCACTAAAACCATTGTTGTTGACTTTAAATGTATTATATTTTCTCATTATCCACCAAACCGTTCCAACGTACTTTGTTTCTCTTACATCTTGTACGATATCGACGTGTTTCTGATTGCTACCTCGGCCCCACTCGGCATCGTTTTACACCAATCTCTAATGTGATTCGACTTATGCACTTGGACCTGCGGCAGACAATCCTTTATCTCGCCTCCGTTAACCTCTCACTTTCTGACTCGCGCCCTGTTGTTCGCTGTCTTAAGCCCTAGCAGCGATACATTCTTCGGAATCTCGAGTTTCCACTCGGACAGCTTCTCCTTAAATGTCTACTGCTTCGATCATTTTTTTTTGTTCTCCTTCTTCTGACGCGCTTCATATGCGTCTCCGCGGTTTCTGTTGCTCCTATACGCTGCTATTCTATTTTACGGAATTTTCTAACGACCCCTCTAAGGTCTAGTATAGCGTATATAGTAGCGCCAGTGGTTGTGCCACTACCGCCAATAGATTCATCGTACGTGGGGCTCATTCTCGATTCGTACTAACTGCCCACGGCCGTGCATTTGTGATCTGCCTCTTCGCTTCATCGGCAAGATGTGCGGTGGCAACACTTCCTCGAACTCTACGGCCCATATCTTCTAATTCCTTTTCTGTCTAGGAACCTCGCGTCTTCCTGATTATTTTTTTTGTAGATTAGATCCCTCTTCGAGGGCAACGATTCAGAATAGTAGTTGCTGCGGGGACGGCGGTAGCAGCGGCACAAGGCATTTCTTGGCTTCGTCTGCACTCCACTCTGTGTCTAGCTCCATGCCTGCATCTTTCTGTCCCAGTCTGCTTGTTTATCGATTTCGACACGATTTTTTGACAGAATGGCGGTCCTGGATTCGCTCTTTCTATTTCAAACGCCTTCATCAAGTCCACCCTCGGCTCTAGTCTTAGCCACCTACCCATCAACGGAATGAAACGCCAACTAGCGATTTCCGCTACACCCTCAGAGACACGGCCGCGTTTATGAACGTACACGTATACAAAAAATCTTTTTCTTTCGCAGTCTCTAAAGCAGGCAGCTCTCGCTGGCTCAGCTGGCCCATTTTTGCACTTCACGACAACGATGATGAAGGAGAGGTCGATCTTTCTTCGATTGCCCTCGAACCCATTCTTTTCCTATAGAGCCTATCCTGTTTCTATCCTATCTCAAATGTCCTTTCGCCCTTGTAGACCCGTCGTGCTCCGTTCCTGTCTATATTTCGTGCCATTCGACCACCACCTTAAGATTAACGAGCGACTTCGTTGTACTTGGACTGTACTTATACGTTGTGTTCATTACTTGGTTATGCTTTCTGGACTCGTATGCCACTCGCATGTATCGACACTACCCGATAGACTTCGTAGTCTGTACATGTTGTTCATCTAGTCAGTGTTGTCAGTGAGGCTACCACCTTGTTGTCGTGGGATGAATTTATATTGCGTAGAGTTGTCGCGCGACTTCTCTCACGATGTCTACTTCAATTTGCCTTCTAACATACCGCTGTGTCGCACCTTCAATGGCAAGGGCGTAGTATAGGGATTGTTGGAGTGACACTCCCCGTTTTTGAGGGTAATAGAAGCCGACAGCATGCGGCCACGGTGCGGTAGTTTCTTCCGTTCCTTCACTTTTTCCTTTACCCCACTGGTAGCAGTTCTTTGCGTAGCTTACGTTGCGTTGGCGTGCTTTGGATACAGGATATATTTCGACTAGCACGCTGACGACATTGATCACGTTCATAGGTTTCATTCCCCCTACACCCTCCCTGCCCCCTAGCCTACCCCTCTACAACCGTGCTTCTTTTTCCTCTAGGGTTGTTCGGGGTCTCTTGTTCCCGCTCGCTGCAGACTCTGCTATCACTACTACTGTTGTCACTTTGAAAGCATCTATATGTCTTCTACAGTGACTCCGGTATATTTTGTAGGTGCTTATCCGTGCTCTATTCGGAGGGTCTATCAGCTTTAGTGTCGGTTTAGTCTGCAGTGGCTCTTATCGAGAGGTCGTTGGGCACGTTCATCTTCTGTTCCCGTCTGAAGCTGCTTATGCCTTCTTTACTCATGGTGCTCTCCTGCTCGTGCTTTACGTCTCCGTTCATTTTTTCCATGTCCCTCCTGGGCTCTCAGCCACCGGTAACGGCCAGCGGGCGACGCGCTACCTCAGGTACCTGGCCAGATGGATCCAATAGCCAACACAGGCTCGTCCCTGTCCTAGAGCAACACAGGACGTAGCCCTTAAAATTAAACCCTACCAACCTTCTAGCACTCTTAATCATTTTCTGCTTCTGCTTTTGTCGTCGAAATGCATACAAGTCAACCTCGTCCATGTTCCCCGATTCCTGCTGCTGGCTGGGCTGTAACACCGCTGTTAACGACGTTAGGTCGAGACTTGCCGTTTGTCGACCTGAGCAGGCCCGTGGTCTCGCCGGTGCCGGTCTTATAAAGCACAGAGCCTTAAATTTTTAACTCTATTATAACCTCAAAGCGTTAGTGCCCTTCGCGAGAGTACGGGGGGGGGGGTGGGGGGTGGGGGGCACAGACGGCAGCAAGTAAGGGGAAAAGGTATTTGCGGCGGAAACAGGTGCAACGGATAAGGAGTACGTAAGAGGAGATAGTGGCTTTGCTCAGCAGGATTAGTCGGTGGGTGGTTGTCAAGTTCTAGGTAGCTCAACTTGTATCAGGAGTGAACGTCTCGTGTTTTTTATGCCGTTCTCTTATTCTTACTTGTTTTAAACCTTGCCGTATCCAAGCCGCTAAAGTCAAAAGAAATCAGGGGCAAAGGCGCGAACATAAGGAAAAGGGATAAGCTTTAAGGCCCTCCCAAATAGAGCAGATACCGAGAGTGCACGGGGCGAACTTTTGCTATCCTAGTAATTCGGTGGAACAAAACAAAACAAACAAACAAAGCAAAAAAAGGCGAAATAGTTAATGTCGATTTAGGGTCGCCTTCTGACTCTATGTTTTTCTGTTTCTATTGATGGGAACCGTCGATTTTGGCGTTGACCTGGGTTTCGTGACTATGTTGCTGCGTGGTGGTGACGACGACGACGAAACGCGACAACGAGCGTAGGAGACCTTTTCGACATGCTGCTCCCGATGCTATCCATCTACCAGGAATACGTGCGAAACCATCACTTTTCGCTGCAGGTACTCGCTGAATGTAAACAACGAGATAAATTCGCCAATATCCTGCAACGACTCGAAGAGAAAACTGTACTTCAGGGCAGAACGCTAGAGACCTTTCTCACGTATCCCATGCATCAGGTGGGTAATGTGGCCATCATTTCAATGCATTTCGCATACAAACCACTGCAATATTGTGTTGCCGTTCATTACGAGGGACAGCGGCAGCGCAGTATATTCGTAATGTGTTCATATAGCGATATGCGTGTGGTAAAAGCAGGGTGGTACGGTAGAACTACGAGAGATTTACTATTTGCTTGACATTGTTTGCTTAATAACTCATCGAGTGTACTTTTTTTTTTTTTTTTTATTAGAGTCTATCTATATACTGATTTGAATATAAAGATATACAGAGGAAAAATAATTAAAATAAAGGACTTTCGAAAACGTTCGACTTTGATGTACAAGTGTATGGTGCATATAGGTTCCTGTGAATACGGTAGAATTGAAGGTTTTTGTTCTTAGATTAATTTGTGTAATACTATTAGTACCATAGTAGGCGACAAGAATATTAGGCTCTTGATACGATAATGCCCCAATGGCTATTAAAATCGTGAGGGTGAAGCCAATAGGATGGTAGTGCTTCTTCATAGCGTCTACCAATGCCCTACTGTGCTGAGCATGTAGATTTATAATTAATAAGACTTTGCACCGGAGAACAGTCCCGCAGATAGAAGTAATCGTTTAAACCATGAAAACGTATTCCTTTCATGCAGGCCAATATTGCGAATAGGCCGAAACAAAATATATTGCCAGCGATACTAATGAGCGTGACTCACAATCAGGTCTTTATCGGAATGGCAAATGTATGCCTTCAAGCGTCCAAACGTGATCCCTGGTTAGCCATACACAAGTCATCTCTCTAATACGGACTCGCTTAAAACGTTAGATATCATTTACCGTGTGTCCATCTAGGCATTAATGTGATCTAAAAGTACCTTTGTTATAATCCGCTCCGAAGTTGCTTTGCGGACTCCAAGTCTTCCAGGCGGTTACGCGGGTATTCTGGATAGATCCACCGTGACAGACTGATGATATTTCTCTTCGAGATAATTACGAATGATTCGAACCCAGCTCTTCAAATTAGTAAGAATGTATAGCGGATAAATTTGAATCAAACAACAAAAATATAATTTTTATCATGCGCCAAATTTCGTGTCCCGAAGCCACCCTGGTGGTAGTCTGAACTTCAGATGCTCAGTTTGTCTATATACAGCGACCAGTCACCAACAAAACCACATATTTTTGTAATTTTTAAATAATTTAATATTAAAAATAGTTTTTACTATTTGTTACATATGCACATGAGCACTAAATGGATCTCGCGCTGTCCAGACCTAATTATTCGTTCCTATACGATTATTGTATAATTCTCAAAGTGAAGTTTGTCTCGTAGACGCAGCTTTGCTTATTGAAATAATGCAAAAGTATTCTCGTTCAGCTCGCAGCTTTCTGAAGGCAGTACTGATGCTAATACCACTGTTAGCCAAAAAAAAACCTATGCAATTCCCTGTTCAGTTATTCGTGTGGCCTGTCTGTGTTGACACCCATTTGCTATGTGCTCGTCGCCTTATTGGAAGTCAATTTTACCTCACCAGCCCTCACGTTGGCAAACAGTTTCCCGCAAGTCGATCTACAGGGCACAGTCATACGTATTGTATAGTACTCTCACGGCTCTTCTCTTGCAAGTTTGCGAATCCTGGCTATAGTCTCCGCGGTTCTTTTTTCGCTTCTTTTTTTTGGACACTTGACAGCCACTTACGGTCGATATTCTCATAAAAGCATCACAATGAGTTGAGGTCGCTTCTGGTCAAGCGATTATCGAAGTACGATGCCAAGGATAGCGAGCTTGACCTAGATAGGCACATTTCCAATAATAGATACCGCGCGCATTAGAATTTTTCTCATCCGCTACTTTCTCTCTGACATTCTCTCCCACTCGACTTTTTCTTGTAGCCTTCTCCTGTTATCAAGCGAAGCCCGGCCACGTCATCGTTCAGGCATTGAAGGAAAATTTTGTATTCATTTGCTGTAAGCTTAACTCTTAGAGAAAAGCAAAAAACGAAAAAAGAGTATGCTTGCGGCATTAAAAGCGACGCTGACGACCATAAGGCCATTCCGGACATCACTTGGAAAATTGTCGGAGAGATGAAGGACAGACAGGGAAAAGAAAAATTACAGACGGGAAGAAAGAGAGAAGAAGTTTCGGCTTAGCCGAAACACCTGACTAACCGTTATTTTCGAAACACGGGTACAACAGGAAGTGACATGCGCTTGAGGAAGAGTTAGAGAACGTTTTAGACAAGACATCCCATCCAGAGCAGCCCCACTTCGTCTCGTCTAAGTTCAGGTCTATTTCTTATCCAACCGTAGCCACTGGTCTCGTCCGGCTCTTACCGTACAACGTACCGCGTACGAAAACCAACAAGACAGGCGGCGAACGAATACAGCGTTGTGAAAACCCTGATAGCTAGAAGGAGTGGAATAAGCATGTCAAGGATCAACGACCAACCGTGGCATTCGCCTGGGCTCGCCTACTTTCGCCCTAACTCATTTCGACCTACGGGGTTTGATGAGGGGGCTTCCGCCTGCACGGCAAGTCCTTCCAGCACATCCACCTCCGGACTTAGGCTCGAGCTCGTGACGACAGTACTGTGCGCTTTCAACTGAAGTATAACCACAGTATTAAAGCATCGACATTGCCGAATTCTGGGTACGCTCCTGTACGTGTTTGTGCGAACCGCTGGTCTGTTGTCGTCTGCTCTCAAAAATCGATTTTCCTCGGGGAAAGCGGCGTAGCCGTAATTGGATATTAGTCACAGTTGCACTAGCCAAGCACGATATACACGTTGTCAAGGTCTGTGTCGTGCCTGAAGCAGTTCTAACGAAAATAGCAAAATTACTAGTGTAACACTGAAGAAAACTTATAGTATCTAAATGAACTAGACCAATTAGTAGCTCGAACCTGGTGCTAGTGGCTGGCTGCCTCGAAGAGAACATAGGCAGCAACTGTTCGTCTGGATGTATCGCGTACATTCTATCTAAGTATGTGATTTGAGCGGAAACTATTTAAGCATATAGCCGTGCACACGTCACATTCTCTGAGCATTAGTTCTAATGCCATCAGAAGATAGGAATAAGGTCAAGTTCCAACCATAACTCCATTGCATTTACGACCTTAGTCACATTGGCGTATCCATAGTTGAAGGACACTTTGTCTGCTTTTACAGCGAAAGCTCTTCTCGATCTTCCAGCTGAGCAGTACAAGCCGTCTTACTGATTTTTCTCAATAATATATTGTATTTCCGAAGACTTGTATACATGAGATGGTACTTTTTTTAGTGCACATAAATACCTTTGCGTCGCTTTAGCGCTAGACGATAGCAGGTTTAACAGCTAAAGCCGTTCTAACCTCAGCATCTCCACCATTGCCTCACTCGCCATCTGGGCTGGTCGGTCGATAGGACCGGCTACAAGGGCTAGCCCGGCCATCCAGTTCTCAAGCTTCACTTCCCAATCAGAGGTTCTCTGACCGCCGCCCCCTAATCATACGCCGGTTTCCAAGGAGCCGATGGTGGCGCCTTCGCTGCTGGTTACCGAGAGAAAGGCTTGACTAGCCAGAATGTTGGCTACCGTTGGATTCTTTCTGCAGTAGTTCCTCTTTCCCCCTGCAGCTGACCTCCCGTCTAGTACCCACAATGAAAGCCATATTTGAGCTATTCTAATGCGGCGCTTCCAATGGTACTAATAATAGTTAGCCTGTGATATAGGCTTTAACACGGTCAGTAGGGGGCGCAAGCAAAAAATTCAAAACCGGGGTATGACGGAAAAGCATGGCAAAAACTAATTTTATTTCTCGCGATGCAAGGTGAACGCAAAGGGCAAAAGGTGGGACAGGCAGGCCCTGATAGAAGATCTTTTTGTTGCGAGTTGTTTGTCGTCGAATCAAAGTCAATGTTTGAGGACAAAAGAGAAAAATGGTTTACTTTATCAGAACTCGTCGTAGCTTCCTCATCGGCCCGTTAGCAAACAGCGCGAAATGTTGGCAGAGCTAAGTAAACGCGGTGTTTTCAGCTCGATTTCAGAGCTAGTTTTTTGTATTTATTGAAAAATTTCGACGATATTTGACTGTAGGCCCTTAGCCTTTAACTAGAATCGCTAAGGACCTATCATATATAACCTGATCGATTTGACTTTTTAGTGCCATTGTTGCTGAATCCAGTTACACGCAGCCTAAGAAGCAGCGTTTTACCCAACTAAAAGCTGCGTAATAATATTCTATTAATGCAAAGCGGGTGTTGAAATGAAAGAGGGGCAGTGGTCAGCGTTCGTTCATTTCACAGCGTCTGCATTTGTTGAAGAAGTCAGGAGCTCACAACAATATTTTTTGAATTTGCTACTTTAGTAGATCAATTGTGTGTCGAAGAATCTCCTCACAACCGACTTTTATTGAAAAAAATCTCCACCTTTTCTCCGATTGGACACGAAATCAACTTATAAAGGCCTAAAAGATAAATGTTGGCGTTGTTAATCCGTACAAAAAATGGACAACTGATAAACTTTCAAACGAAGCGGCACAGACCAAAAGCTTCGAACATCTACAGTGAATAGAAATCAATTGATTTTTGCCGCAAAACAGAAGCTTTTGAAAGTAAAATATGTTGCGAATTAAACAGGGCCTTTCAAACTATAGTTAAGTAATGTACTATTCTTTGACGGGGTGGCAGCATGTAAGCCAGGCTTGAATCTCAAGTGTACACCGGTCTGCGCCACCACAAATGCGACTAGCTGTTTCATCTATAAATTGTTTTCTATTCACCCCAGTCCCTTCGTGCTGCTCCTACTGCTTAGCTTTCGTTCCTATTTTATACTGCTCTTCTTCCTTACCTCACGTATTAGTAGCTCATTCCTACTGGAGCTTGAGATTTGCTTTAATGAGCCGTTTGTCGGGGCAAGCAGAACCCGCCTGCTTGAACCTAACTTTCTCAGTATTCCGACGCGCTTTCTCCGGCTTTTCGTTTCCTCAGTTGAGGTAAGCCTCAATTCCCTTTCCCAATGCCGGCCCTCAAACGCCATTCGCAAGCTTTGCGGAGACAAGAAAGCCGCAGACCCGCGGCCTGCGGCAGTAGAGTTTTCCCAACTTCATCTCATCCAAACGCGGACGAACAATGCTATAGCCGATGCCATGGTAACTGTGGGTGACAGCGCACTGCAGTGAAACTACACCTGCGCCGTTGGGCAACTGGTTTCTCCCTCTAGTTTTCGGTAGCGGCGGTCGCAGCCAAGCTTCAAATCGCGTAGCCTTGAACCGTTGAGCGGCACCTGGCTAACGGAAGAGAGCGCGAAAGCTGAGGCCAGTTGACCCACAGCTGCAATGAGCATCTACTGTTTCTGCCGTACCTGTGTAACCTTGTATACCTTTCCTGTGAACGACAGAGCAAATATCGAGCAACTGGCGGGCAGAACGAAGCACGAAAACACGCTGTGATTCGACATAGCCAAGCACGTGATTTACAGATGGTGGAGCTAGTTGACTGGAATATAGCCCCAATGTGCCTACAGCTTTCACAGCTGACTCCGATCACCTGTCGCCTGGCTGCCTTCTCCATACCCCCTACCGTGCCCCTCTCACGATTTCCTTTCGCGAGCGCTGTTTTTCTCGCTTTCGTTCTACGATCTTTCGAAAACTCGCAAATAACGCTCCCAAGTACAACCATTCTTATTCTCGTACTGTCTCTTGTTAACGTTCAGCGTTGAACCATTTGACGCGAAAACGTATTGAGGAATCATGCGATCCTAGCGATGACCAAATTTTACTCATTGTATGTTCTTCAGCGTTTTGATCGGTGCTTCAGCAAACGCGTATTCATGCGAAGCGCGTAAGCTCCCGTTAGCTGAGTTGATTAGGGCGCTATAGAACACTGTCAAACCGGATCGATTTGTAAGAACAGATTGTAAGAGTATTATTGAGAAAATCTTAGTCTCTCCTTGTTAGCATGCATTCGTCTCTATCGCTGCTCCCTATTGTTCGAAGAGAATTGACGTAGAGGTGAATACATATAGCTGAGTATCCTAAAAACACACTTTAATACGCTTACTCCCGACTGATAATCAACCTTGTAGACAGGGAAGAAAAACATATCGTTCTTGAAGAATATAGCTGTACCTTCACCAAATAAAAAGCTCAAACGTTACATAGGCGATATTTTACCCACGGATGCTCTCTCCTTTTCCTCTTTGCCCTCCCCCGGTCGTTACCTTTCTCGTTCTTTTTCGTTCCCCTTTCTTACTGCCCTATTCCCTCCCGCATGCTCTCCTTCTCGCTTCCCCTGCAGCTTATCGACCCACCCCTTTCTCTATTGATCTCTCTCCAGCGCTCTTTTTCTCTCTATCTGTCTGTGCTTTTTGTTTCCTTTTTTTGGCCATGCTCAGTGTTAGCGAATCCAGGTTAGTTGAGCCGTCGAAGCGATCAGCACTAATGCCCAATCCTGCGGTGCCGTTCCTCCTAATCATCTTCAACCGTCCTTTAGTGATAGCGATTGTACTCCGTGTATTGAAATGAATGAGCGATATGCCGTTCATTTTGAGAGCCAGAAAGCTCTTCTGCTGAATGGCGCACTTTTACCCCTTCTGTCCATAAACTTGAAAAAGCTGCCGCTGATTTTGCTACTGCGGGTGCTAAGCATACATCTGACTATCGTAGGCGAGTTAGTCAGTGTTCCGCTTTTAGGCAAGCTCGCTGTCTGTCTTAGGCTGCCTGCCTGCACGCCTGCCAACCACGCTTTTTAGAACCTACGTAGTATAGTCTACCGGCAATACTGGCTGGTCAAAAAAGGAACCTAAAGTCCAACGCCGCCGTTTTTGCCTCCGATCGACCGAGGTCGTTCGGGTGGTTGAGTGGGCCTGCCTGCTGTCGACTTGATGCCAGTACCCCGCGGCGCCAACGTGGCTCGAATTGATAACACATTCATTCGCGACCATTCGAAGAGGCGAAAGCCGGAAATGAAAGGAGACGAAAAAATAGGCGGCGGCAGCAGCAGGCAGGTGGTGGCAGTATAGGCCCCTCCGCCCGACCGATCGACCGACCATCCGTGCGTCAGCCCGTTCGGTAGCTAGAGACTACCAACAAACCTATCCGTGCCTGCTGCTACCCCCATCTTATCTCACTTTCGCGTCGCTTCGTTCGCCCTCGCTTCCGTCGTTCTCGCCGTCGGCTTTCGGTAGTGCCTAACGTAAAAGCAGTCCGATCTGAGAAGACAGAAGTATTGAGAACGGAAAATAAGAGATGGTTGGGTGGGTGGGTGGTAGGGTGTGCGCCTATGTGTGATACGTGAGGCCAGAGTAACCTAGTGGATAAAGCCGAATACAGACTGGCAACAGAAGACGACTAAACTTCCGTCAAAGCGATCAAAGGATAGCCTCCTCTTTTTCGCCTATCGACCAGCTCCCCGAGCGGCGGCCCGCGCCCATTTTGGCCCGTCCCTACTGCTCTGATCCATTGCTTAAAATGCGTGGTGGAGACGAGGTATGAAAGCGGACTTCAAGCCAACCATACAAATAGGCCAGATGAGCAAACGAATTCAACTCGTTTTATGATTCGCAACTATTCGTTGCCTCAACCGCAGCAGTCGTCGGTTGTTGACCGCTGGTACGACCGATCCTACTGATGTATATTGACCACAATAGGTGTTTAGGAAGACACGGAGGCGGTACTTAAGTTCCAGAATCGGCAACGGTTACTATTATATATATGGAGCCAGCGAACGAACAAAGTAGAGCTGACTATTTGCTCTTTATTCCGCATGCCGTCAAAGATCGTTGTGATGACGTCCACAAAAGAACTATGACTATGGCCTCTTGTCAACGCCGCCCTGATCATGATCGTTAAATCAAGCTTTATGGTGGGTTCTCCCACCTGGCCACTGTACACAGGCCAATGTAGACAAGGCGAACTTCGAGCACTTGCTGCTCGGCTACAAGATAGCTGCACAAGCTTAATAAGTGTCAGGAGGACAAGTAGATAAAGTATAAAATAGTATGCAAAGTAAATGAAAAACAATTTCGAGTGTACAGCAACTAGCCACTTGCTTCTTACTAGGAACATACACATCTAGACGGTTTTGCTTGCGCTGATCATTTTAGTGCGTATAGACGCCATGCAGTTCCAATAGAATTGCCATATAACGACGGGAAACGTTGTTCATATAGGTCACAGGTTTCGCACGCTGAAGCTAACTGGAAACCAAGCATCTGCATGAAGCCTGTAGACGTCCAAGGTTCGTTTTTCCTCTACGCTATAATGTTAGGGTGAGGAAAAGATGAAGCGACGTTGCCAGATGCGTTGGAATGTTTTAAAGCGAGCTACGAAACTTTTTTGCAGAAGAATCGTTTCCATCTTTGAAAACATTTTGACAGTCGTTAATAGCCATTTCAACAAAATGAATGGACCCTGCTTATATTGTCCGGGCTATGTTGAAGTGACGTTGATGGACCATGTGCGTTATGTCGCAAAAACCGTGAGGCGTTTACTATTCGTTATTTTGGATTCTCTTGATTCGTAATGTCTATGATACGGCCTGTATCGACGCACAAGCTCGATGAATAGTAAGCTCTATTTTAAATGTACGAATCGTCTTCAACAAAACGGTTCTGCGCTTTTTACTCTAAATATATCCGAAAAAATCTTATATATCTATGTCCGCTCTAGCGACCACGAGAGTTCTCAGCGCTCGTTCAGATAAAGCTTCAGTTCTAGACTGCCATTAAAATAAGTTATGCCGATAGGCCTCAGGCATACTTCAGAATAGTTCATCGAGATACTCTGTTTTAATGCGCATATTATGTCTCTAGACAATTATTCCTTGTCAGTTGTATGTGTATATATATATATATATATATATATACGTTTTTCGAATGCCTTTATTCATCCTTGCAGATTTTATCCCATAGGTGAACTTGTTTACAATTTTTAGTTGTAAAAGTTTATATTCGTACGAGCTTCTTCTCTTTCAAGCCAACCTGCTGGTACGATTGTGAATTTCTAACTATTCACCCAAGTCGGTCATGTTTAGAAAAACGTACGAAACAGTTCTTCGAAACCACTCGAATATCCTTCTCAACTGGATAGTGCTAAAGGTCTTCATGAATTTCAACCCGTTCCGCTCCGCTCGTTTTCCTTGTTTTTTTTTTGCAGGTCCCGCGATATATCATCACACTTCATGAGCTTCTGGCACATACGCCCCACAACCACGTTGAGAGGCGAAGCCTTGAAAACGCTCGCGCCAAATTAGAAGAGCTTTCCCGGGTAAGTAACTACTGCTCCGTACTGTATATGAGTTTAATACGAATACTCTCGAATGATCAGATATCGGCCATTTGCGCCCTCGTGTGTTCGAAAAGCAAATTATAGATAGATAACAAAGTGAAAGAAATCTATAGCTGGTTGTGTCTTTCTGCTTACGAATAGATCAAACGGCAATTCTTTCAACTACTATAGATAATATCCTGTTTCACTTGATCCAATGACGCTGACCGTAGAAAAGGTTGTCGCAATAGCTTATAATAGTCTCCTTTGGCAAAGGTGCACCTCCATTCTATCGATTGAGCAATGAGCGAATTACTCCTTTTATAGAAGTCGGCATGTTGAAAAGCGAAATACGAGTTTATACACCTCTTTGGGCAGGCTCGCAGGGCGTTGGTTGTAAAAGACCACTCCACAAAGACTACATCCTACTGGTTCCTTAAAAAAGGACGATAGCCAGTAGGTCTTAGGAGGTTTAGTGGATAAGAACGAAAGTAGGTAAAGATTTCCAGTTGAAGACCCTAACAGACAATGGCACTTCGAATGCGTTCTATTATGTCCACTTAGTAGTGAGGTCTTAAGAGCATAATAAAATGTATTTCGTAAAGTTTAGAAATGTTAATGTGTGTTTATTTTCATTCGCTTCCTAATGAGGTATTTTGGCCTAATATAAGTTATCTGTTTGGCATTTTCCTGACTCGTTGTGAACGATAGATAACAACCTGTGCTAACTGTAATTTATTGCCACTTTGGTTTATATAAGGACGCCACTTCCGATTCAGGACATAGCCAAGAATCTCGGACTACTGACGTCTACAGTATACAGTTGGTGACATCATGTTCATTGGTTTTTTAGATTTGTTTTTAGTTTTTTTTTTATTAATGCTATATTATCTTTTATGTATTTGTGTGTGTCTCGCTCACATTTGCTAAAGGCTAGACATTTAAGCTGCCTTATTTACTGATCGCTGAAGATATAACCATCAGTCTAATGATCGACTCTTACAATCTGTCTGCTTCAATCTGGCTTCTGGTACTGTGGATTCTTACGGCGAAATCAGCAAAGCTGGTTATTAATACAGTGTTAGATATTAGTATATCGACCAGTGTAGTCTCAAAAGCTCCTCTTGCCCACCGTAAGCTTGCAAAGCCCGTGTTATTGATTGTAGCGAAATCAGATGTAGGGAAGGACTAGAGATTATATTTGGTAAATCAGATCAGTGAGTCACAAGGGCGTAACGTCGTTTATTCGTTCATTATTCATGCCAGTTATTTTCGCCGTCGTCGGTAACAAGAAGTATCTCTATAATAGTATAAACAATCGACTACGTTAGGTAATTTTTTGAAGAAATTAATTTTTATCGCCAAAACGCCAGTCACTTCAGCATATCTAAGTCGGCTTTCTGGGCCCAGTTCTATGTCAGGCTGTTGCTTGCGAATCTAGCCAGTACCAGTCGAAGTACATCTATCGAACAATACAAGTCACCACAATTTGTTGGACAATAATGGTTAATTAATCTTTCCGTCCAGAAGCGCACCGATTGTTCGACCGTAAAAAATATACGCACACTCCATCAATGTATCTGCTTACATTATACTTATATCTACATGTATAACATGCACTTGGCTATCGACAGAACAGAGTTTGTATTGTGCAGTAGTCCTTAGCCCAGCTATATCCGGGAGCAGCTAAAAAAATAAGCGTTAATTAATGCCAGGTCCTGCCCCATTTGTCTACGTACTGCTCCAGTGCCCATGTGTATTCCTCACGCTATTCAAAAGGCAGCTGAATCTTCTTTCCCTTTTCCCCGTCGTCCGCCCCATGCACCTCCACCGAACGCCGCGAAGTCGCGTTCGTTTGTACTCCTTTTCTGTCGTAACTGAAACAGAGTCTAAAAGGCGAATATGCGCGTACCCGGAAGGCAGCGTCAGCAAGTGTTGTTGGTCGTTAGTTGCTTTCTTGCTTGATTAAGATTGATTGTAGCATCCGCAACGGGTTTATACCTAGACCTTCTGCTCTGCCGTCTAATTCCGTGTTACGATGCCGACCTATATTATATCGAAATAAATAGAAACGCTGCCCCCTATGGCACGCATCGATGCGTTCGTCTGTCGATTGTGGTGGAAGACATATTCCTACGTGACGTGAAACGTGGCAATGGACGAAAGCTGCACTGGATAGCAACAGGCGATTTAGATTGCTGCATGGCACAGTCAGCTAGCAAATCCATCCGTCAGAGAGAATAGGGCCTTTTGTTCTGTTCCGATACGCTAAGAGAAATTGTTTTTACACAACAATCTGTGCTTTGCAACACACGACATGACGCACGTCGTCGGCCCGAAACTATAAAGGACGTTGCGTAGTTGATTAATTATAGTGATTTGTAGCTTCAGCATTCTACCTAGGTAAAAGGCCGCAAATCACATAGTCAAAATAGGTAACAGCCTTAGCAGGTCTAACCTGCGCACTGTAAATCTATGAATTTCGCTTAAACGCTGATTGATTCGCCGGATCAATGTATGTCTGCGAAATAGCATTGACTGTCAAAACGAGATATGGCCTATTGATAGTTAATACATTGCTCTTTTCGTCTAAGGTGCTCCCGACAGTATATCTTTTAATATCCTAGCCTGGTTGAGGTAGCTCAAATGCCCCGCGTTGACTATTCATTAGAGTAGTCGCCATAGCTAAAATGTCAACTCCCTGCTCTAGTGAGCTTATTGGCCTGAGTGGGGCTTGACTGTTCAAGCTACTTTAGAGAGGAAACGCATAGTTATCGCAGAGTTATATTATCGTTACTTCTCTGCGATTCAACCGAAAGCCCATCGTGGTTGTTGTAGTAACGCTCTACCTTGATATTCAATCTGTGAGCTTCTTGAGCGTAATGAAGAATCAAGCCACGTAAACATTATCGTATTTTTATTCTCAGAACTATTCGAGCATTTAATATCTGCGTTTAAAAGTTGCACAGATACTATGTGTTCTCTAAGTAACCAAGCCAGCAAAAACGTATAGATTATAAAATTATTACAGATTTCTATTTCATAATAAAATGCTTAAGTCAAGAACCTCTAGGTTCTAAAATTGTGTAATCATTGCTGCGTTATTCGTTTAATGGAGCGTACGTAATTATTCTATAAAATTAAACAAACAACGTGGGATTTTACTTAGATAATGGAAAAGACCTGTAATTATTTAAAAATTGCAAGTTACCGGCCTGGCTGTTCTCTATGAGAACATCGTCGAAAGACATCGTAATGATGTTGCAAACAACGAAACATTGTTGATTCGATTAGCTAATACGACCTTAAAAGGATTAACCGTATCGAAAATGGCGGTTATATTTGGCTGCTGCAGCAGGAAGCAGGCCATTGCCTAGACGGACGATGTTGTCATCGCTTACGACTAAGGACATTGCGGTCACATTTGCGTCCGCGTCGCCACAAACGAGATAATGTCACTTGAAAGGTTTCACGCGCAGTTGGTCGAACCTGTTCATTCATCTCGTCGTTGGGCAGTTCCGTCGCCCCACGCTTATTTCCGATTCTTCCTTTTGTTTTTCGATTCTACTCCCAATGTTCGTGTCTTTCATTCTTGCAGCGCTGCCGTCGCAACAGTTAGAAGAGGCACAATCCTCGCAATGAAATGTTCGTTAACAAACAACAGTTCTTAGTTTTACTGTGGGGGAAGTATATTGTCAGACCTCCTGCATAAGACAAGTGGCTCCTGGTCCACAGGTAGACGAAAGCCCGCCTGTTCTACCGCTGGCTTTTCCCTTTGGCTGCCTCTTTATTCCTCGTTCGATTCGTGGCGTCACCGCAGGGACGATATGACACGACGATAAGTGACTGAATGAATGAGTAAGGTCTTATTCTAGCAGCTAGGATGGTTTTTATAACGTTTTAGTTATTTACCTGATGGTGGGGATATCAACGATGGAGATGCTGGTGGGCATGATGGACTGCTATATGCAAATGTATATGAATTTCTCCATTTGCTTTTATAAAAACTTATACCTCTATTCCCCCTTAGCGTGCCCTACAGTTTTTTGTTTTCTAAGAACACGTATATACCCGTATACCTACAGAAGCGAAAAAACTGAGCAATTTTATTTTTTCTGAGTGGTACCGACTAAACTTCTTTACTGAACTGGTTATGCCTGGTAATCAATTGGCCTTCCATGCTCCTCAGAACAAAATATTAATAATAACTCGTTGCTAAAGGCACTGGATTCTAACAAAAGTTACACGTACGTCTACCCCGGTTTCCATCTTAACCGCTTTGCCATGAGCTAGTTTTTCAACACACACTCTTTTTCTCGCATTCGTTTCTGCCGTTTTGGCGGCTTTCAGCGGCTGGTTGGTTTGTGCCTCGTGCCTGTGCACGTGGGGCCGTCTGTACGAATTCATGCATTGGGCAGTTAGCACGGTTGCTTTTATTCGTTTACCTCTCTCGCCCTTAACGGGAACAAGAAAGAGAATGGAATCATGTAGGGTTTCCTGCGTGTGGTTCGCGTTACAGCTACTATTGGCGCAGTTTCCTTGATCTTTCTCGTTGCGCGGAGTCCCCACATCGGCCTTTATTGCCTATCCGGTTTGGTCCCGATCTGAGGCCCAACCTAAACTAACTAGTGCAGGACAAGCCTTGCTACTGTCGCAATCGCCATTGGCTTCGTTCACATGCCGCCCAACAGGCAGCGTGCGGGCACGAAAGAGTAGCAAAGCTGAACAGAGAGAGGTTTTCAAGCTTCCCTTCCAAACGACTTTGACTTCCCTGACCGACGGCAGCAAAGACGACGAGCCAACGCTTCTATTAAGGAAAGTCAACGCGAGCGACCAGCTCAGGCTCAGGCTTCCTAGACCGGGGCTAGACGACGAACCAAGGAGCAGCCAAGTCAGCATTAATCACTGTGGTCAGAGGAACCGGAACTTCAGCCCTCCTCCCCTCTTCTTCATCGTCATTTAATAGTGCCATGCAATCGCTCCTACTCCCTTTCTCCCATACACGCCGAGCTCACCGTCGGTTTCAATGCCATTGTTCTGCCAGTGTGCAACGCTTTACGCATCTAAAGTATCATCTCATCCCCTTTTGTCCCACAGCTGCTCAGGCACTCACGGCTTGGAAACCGGACAGTCCCTGTTTCCGGTCCTGGGTCAGGCACAAGGCCTTAATTTTTCTTACTCCTTTACTACTGACCGACCGCTGCTAGGAGCCGTTAAGAGCGAAACGAAGCAGCACGGGTCAGCGAAGGGAGCGCACCCAAGAGCCTACATTTATACGAGGAATAATTAAAAAAAATGAATAACCAAAGTTTTAGCTAGTTATAGCTGATACTAAGAATCTTTTTCTAGTTGAAAAAAGGTTCAAAAACAATACATTAATAAGAAAATTGTAAAAATAAAACACATCATCATTTGTGCCAATCCCCTGACATCGACACACAGCCATAGGTCATGAATATTACTTGCTAGCATCGCATCCAGGAGCTTAGAGTAGGGCGAAAGCATATGTTCCACCAGTGGATTCAAACGAGAGGCCAGTGCGTAGACCAGTTGATATAAATAGTACAAGTATGGGTATAATACATAGATCGGAAAGATATGACTTGAATTCAGGTATAATTGGAGGCACAGATAACAAGAACTGCACAATATGCACATTGTATGTTTTTGTTCAACAATAAATACGAAAGCATGCTAACAAACGCTCCGAATATATAACGTAGACTAATGTGTGTGCAGGTGTGGGCCGCCACGGTTAAAAAGAAGTCTGTTATTGAAGGGAACGATGCGCTTGATTATTACCCTTATTATACCTATATTATCTGCATAATTTCAGCAAATGCACGACGAAGTAAGCGAGACAGAGAATATTCGAAAGAATCTCGCCATCGAACGAATGATAATTGGAGGATGCGATATACTCCTCGACGTTAACCAGGTAAACACTTTTCTACGACAGACACCTGACCTTAAAAATATTCTTCTATGTTATATCATACCTAATTGGAACAAGCCAACTTTCGCTAAAGTGGGTACTATATATATATATATATATATACTGTGATATTTTCTGTATAAACAGAAGTTAATATCGCAGATTGAGGCAAAATGGGCGAATGCTTTATGTTGCTGTTAACGCGATGAGTGATGAGTACTTCTGCTGGGCTTCCATGAAAATGCATTTGGCCGTGAAACCTTGGGGCAGAGATTTTCTCCGCAAATGTTAAATACTGTTCATTTACATAAGCCGTCTAGGTTTAAGGGACCCCTAACAAGCTTCCGTCAGAACTATATGGAAATAACCCAACGGTTCTCTAGAAATTATCCCTTCAAAGAACTAAATTCACGCTTCGAGTACTGAAATGTATGAGAGGCCGTTGCGGGGTCTATGCATCCTTATTCTCGGAACAATGTACTAAAATCATAACGTTGAGATTGATGCGGCTAGGGTGAACCGCTTTATTTTGGTCTAACTGCAGACCATTATCTGCAGTTTTTCTTCCATTAGATACTAGTAATAATTTTGACCTCACGGTGTATGTAAAAGCGAACTGTACCCAACGGACGCTTTACCGATCCGTTATTCAATAAAGAAGCTATATAGAATAAAAAGTAATATATAAATAATAAGTAAAAAGCGCAACCTACGCAAGCCCGTATACCCTGTTTCCACTGTGACTATACCAGACGGCGCAACCCATTAACTGTTTTCCTATGGATCTTGTCCATTAAGTCCCCTTTAGTGAAAGAGAGCGGGCAGTAGGTGAAGTGCGGGTGGCTCCTGATGATCACATAATTCTGTATGAAATAACTGAGCTGCTTGGTTTTGTCGCCCGTAACCATAAAATGGGAAAAAACCCGCAAACTAATTTCGGCTGAAGCTTTAATTAGTGGCATACGATTTCACCATAGGCGTATAAATCTTAGAACTGTTGGCCACTTCTGAAGAAGCCCCCAGTGTGGCCTGTACTCACCTTGAGTTTTCCGAATTACGTAAAACCGCTTATTGATAGCTAGGCGTGATACCTGTTGAATAGCAGCAAGACCAGGATATGTGCGAGAAGTAACCATAGACGAGGGGTGCTGAGAGATCTTCTCATACAGGTGCCCGTCCATGTTTTACTAATGTAGTAGCCCAGTGTACTATTATCAAAAAGCGTTTTTATACCAGTCAATGTTAGCAAAACGTATTTACGATTAATTTGTTAGTTAATCCTCTTTCAGCATAGTGGGGATGCTATGGATAAATTTCATAGCTAAAATTTAAAGGTGGTAAATTCATATGGTGGGGATACCTTTTATCGTGATGAAGGCTAGTCTTGCACCCAGCGAATGAAATATCACAGATTTTACTAGGAGTTTACTTACTTTGACCATAGCGTCTTATACTGAGCCTTTAAGCTCTCTATATCGTGGGTCCATTGCTCGAAACCTCAATTAGCAACCGGTTTTTTAAACCCAGCCCTGTGCGCCGTAAGTTGTGAAACGTCCCTGTTACAAAACCCGTACCTAATGCTCAAGTAGACTCAAAAGCTGCACCGAGGGTCCACCAGCACGAATGACGCCGCAACGACGATGCCACAGCCTATTGCTATGGGGAAATGGCTTTTTCATCGACCATCCATACACTGCTTGATTCGTTCGGTTCTGATGCCTAAGCACCGGCTCCGTGCCGGATTCTGAAAGACTCTGCCGTTTGTGCCATTTTTCTCATTCCATCGTATGCTTTTGCTGCAGTTGTCACCACCTGCATTATAATCAGCGACTTACCCTTTGTCACAGCGTTACCTTTTGTCCACGTACCCCACATTACGTCCCAATAATGTGAAGACAGTGTTACTGTGGCAAATTGGCCAGAGAATAGGCAAGGAGACTACAGTCACTCAGACAATAAGAGCAAGACAGACAGGAGAAAACACGGGACACGACAAAAAGAATAGTACCAGACAGTGATTAATAAAGAGATCACCATCCTCGCCTCCTTGTCTCTGCCCCCCACCCGCGTGACTTTCTCTCGCTTGTTAGCTTCCATTTGCCCAACCTGGCTTTCCCTTCTTCACTCTCTGACTATCATCTGATCCCTATCATTATGGCACAAGATGCTGTCAAAATTTTCTGCAAGCGCCAGATGATCTGCGTAGGCTATGCTGCGACAGCTAATGGTACGATTGCTCTCGCAGGCCGACTGACTCAGTCGGCATGTCGCCCAGATATGCGTTGCTAGTGCCCGACGTTGTGGAAGTTGTCAGTAACGCGGCGAGACAACGGTGAAGTGGGAAACCCGAAACGGGGTGGGACCTGATGAGGTTCCGGGGGTTACCGTTGACGCTCTCTCAGGGATGCCTGCTTGCGTGTTCCGGAAATGCGTAGTCTTGTCGTTGCAAGTTGAAGGTGATGCATCCTCATCCAACCGATACTCTAAGATCACCAGAGTAAACAGTCTGTTCCTTATAATACAGTAGCAAAGGAGGGCATATGACGGCACTTACGCCGCGCTATCCACCATCTGATCTGCTTCTAGTACGTTTCTGGATCCTGTTTTTCCTTGAACAAATATTATTTACTATTATGACATGCATTTGTGTGCATCTGCTTATAGCTTAGATGCATTAAACACACCGTTAATATATACGATCAATATAATTATTGCTAAACATATTGCTATCTGTATATGATAGGTTATTGACGATGAGAGACTTTTCTCTGATCTCAACTGCATTATTTTCAGGTGTTTATTCGTCAGGGCAATGTGATTCAGGCGGCGGCAGTAGACAAGTCGCGGCGCGCCCGCATCGTCTCGAAGGGAAGCGATCAGGTTCGCCAGTGTTACCTCTTTACCAATCACATGCTGCTATGCAACAGGACATCCGCCGGCAAGCTACACCTCATAGAAGGTAAAAATACTCATTGAATGTGGAACAAAATTAGGAGCTTGCAATAGGTCTCCATTAATTTATATAACTGCTTCGTTAATCATTTATGGACTAGACAAGTTCTTCTATTTGGTTGGTAAGATGATGTCAATAATAATCTCCAGCGTTCGCAACGCGTTCTATTATGTACGGTTACGGCCGGTACGCATACCGGCCCAAAGAAGCTAGTTAGTTTACTTGGGCTCGATTTCGTACATAGACGAAGCTCCAATAGCTAGCAAGATGTGTAGTGGTCGAAATGGACCTGTTCGTCGAAAGTCAACGACCGTAGAGGATTTTCTAAGTCCATCAAAAACAAAATAGGTAGCGATAAGTAGGCGACGAAAAGACGTAATTTTAGGTAGAGCGTTTAATGTGTGTAAGATCAGGACTACAAAATAAGGACAATAATATCTGCGAACAATTTACCAAAAATCGATACTAGCTGAGAGTGCAGGTTAATAGGAAATTGAGCTAGACAGATTGGTGATGCTATATCTAAGGGCTGGCAAGTGAAAGGTGCCGTTTACGGACCCATCTCGATGAGCAGACTGTAAGGTAGTATAAACTGATATGCGCTATTAAGATAGTGCATTATGTAGTATTTAAATTGTGAGGCTATTGTAAACTTATCTGCAGTAATATATATATATATATATAAAGTAAGCTTCAAGAGAAGACCTCAAAACATAGTTTCTGAAAAGCACCTTCCAGTTTCTGGAGTTGGCCTTTCAATTTGAAATACTATAATTGTAAATGATTATAGGGTTTTCACAGACGTGAAAAACGGTCACGGAGTTCGCTCAAGTGCGCAATTTGTCCTGACAGTTGGCACAAACACAACACTAATTAAAGCCGAAAGTACTTAAGTGACCATCATTCGTTGAGGGTAAAAGTAACGCTAACTGTATATTTATACCGTTCTACAAATCAGCTCATCCGCGTTCTCATACCTCATTCTCCTGTCGTGCAGCTGCTATGGCCACTGTTTGTCATACCCATTATTTATTGCATTTCTAACGATACTTATTATTAAGAGATCCATGGTTAACTAAGTATATTCAATGCCGAAATTCGTGTTCCTTAATTTTTTTGTTTGCTTTAACCCGTGCCGCTTTCAGTCATTAAATAGATAGCAAAATAGATCTGCAAACGTACTCTCACGGCGGCTATCAGCGACCTCTCCTTGGATTGTTGAATATATATATATATATGTGTAGTCCAATGTTTAAATTCTTTAACGATAATCCCGTAACGTTCCTTTCCTAGATATGAATCTAAATCTGACAGGTCTGTTTAACGCCGGTATCGGAGCCCGATCCAAGTCCGTGCTCTATCCGTGTTTAATGGTTCCGCCGCCTAAAACATTTAGCGGATAAATAATACGTAGTTATTAAACTCGCTAATTACAACTAGAGCGTATGTGGATTTCCCTTTTACGCGCTGCATTCTTGAACTCACCATTTTCCTAATGTTAGAGGGGTACTAAGAAGGGAAGCCATTTGTCCATTACAAAAGTAATTCCACATTGAGTTCGAATGGTTCGGCCCTAACTCTTCCGTTTGCCCTTACGCTGACCAGCACCGTTCTAAAAAGAAGTCATATCATTTATATGCTGAAAGACGAGCGACGTTCTCGTTTCTAACTCTGCCCTCTAACTTTGTGCTGCATCTTAGCGCTGAACGTTACATATTGGATTCAGCATCAGGCAGCTCTCCTACATGAGCTACTTGTAGGGCAGGTTCATCCACTGGGACAGGAGGGCGTATCGTAGGGCATTTGTTGATGGGAAAAGCAAAGGTCAGCTCTACATGACCACCGATACGCAGGTCATCCAAAAAGACACTTGGCGCTGTGATACTGCAGCGCAACGCCACGCAGGAAAGGAACGAAGCAAATGACATGAACGCCAAACGATTAACACAGGCCGCTTTTGTATGGTGGTATTTACACAAGTACCCGCATACTTTTCAGCCCTGCATAGTGCCACTCACTGATTTCTCTAAGCACTCAAAAAAGCCCGGGTTCTACCTGCTGTAGTGAAGTAATAGTGTGTAACCGCTCAACCGAACAACTTATTCTAGCCTTCGCTCCAAATCGTTCCCGCTTCTCTTTTCAAGTTTTCCCAGTTTATAATACTGACCCATTAGGAGTCCACGGGCGAATGCCTCCTGCCCGTTCCTGCATTCTTTTGACAAACATCGTTTCCGGGCTGTACTCAGCGCCGCATCGAAGGCATCTGATGCCACTATATATGCGTCAGTTTTTCCCGGAGCCGCAAAGCTTTGCCTCAGTTCTGCCTTCTCGCTTCCCCTTCACTACGATAGTCGACTTCCGAATACTTTGCCGTCCACGTGAACTTGTGCGCAAGAAGCCTGTAAATGCCTTTTTAATGGACCAGAGAGAAGGTTAGCCAAGAAGGCGACCGAAACGCAATTTCCAAATATTACTCTATCATTCGGCCCGCTAGGGCTGCTGTTGACGTTGCCGTTACTGTTTGGTGCGTCCCGTATCTATTGCTGCTCGTCTTTTCGTTGCCAGATCCTGTAGTTCCTTCTTTTCCTATGCGCCCTAATATCCCTGGATACTATTAATATCTTGCGCACATAGAGATACATCCGAAACTGCATCTGGAGTACGTTCGCCAGCATCAGCCTAATCTAGCTCGTTTTTTCTCAATAATCTTGAATACGTCTCCAGTCGCTAGTTGGACAAGCGCGCCGTAGGGTTAACATATATTCCTATGACACATTAAGAAAGTGAACGAAGCTGATAGAGTTGTCGGTTTTAATTATAGGTAAGTAATGGAGTCCCGCTTTTTTTTTTTTAAAGAAATCGTACATTCATGATGAAGTAGTGACATTGAAACAAGCCCATGGATAAGTGTCACAGATTCTTGCTGCTGTCCTAACTGTTTTGACAGGATAAGTGTTACAGATTCTTGCTGCTGTCCTAACTATTTTGACAGAGGAAAAGCCAATTCCAGACATACGTATTGCTCGCAGCCAAACTCTTTGTCAGCGTGTAATATGCTGCCCCTTTTTTTTAGAAAAGACTCAGTTGGAACGGAATCTACGCACCGTTCGTAGTATATTGCTTCTGGCGGTAGATTCTATTAAGCCACTTTTGCATAAGAGAAGTTTCCGATGTACTTATTATACAGAACGTTGCAGCGTCGTTAACATACGATGCGCTTAACCCACATGATGTGATATGGTCATCTGAGACGCTCTACCTGGTTTCTAATGATCAATCAACGAGTAGACCACGATTGAGCGAAGTTTTTAGGATCAATAAACCCGATAGGTCGGACAGGGAAAACAATAAGAAGCTGAAATCGGCTATTCGTCACACAGTACTTGAGCCATTTACCCGAACAAATACATCTAGTAAAACCACAGGAATTATACAGCATTACTCCTAATCGTTCTGCCAACACTTTACGGTATGGAATACATTCTATACATCTGCTCCTTGTCAAAGGAGGACTTTTGCGTATCGGTGCGCACTTCTCCGTGCTTGACGCGATGTTAAAAGTCGGCGCATCTGATACTACTTTTTTTCTTTTTTTTTTTTTAATAAACATGCATTCATTTGCAGATCTACATGAAGAAAATAACGAAGCACCTTTGTTATAGGGTAATTTTTTCAGTAATCGTCTAGGCGTCTGTCTATCTACTTCGTTAACTTCACGTTGCCGACATGTACTCCTTTTCTTCACCTAGGCAGAAACTGTTGAAATTTGCCTAGATCTAAATAATAGCAATTTTCAAAGCATGAAACCGATGCGCTTGCAGATACTTTAGACCCCATGTGGTTGTACCACACTTGCGAATCTTACCAAAGGTTTGTATCGAAACGGCTTCCAAGGTTACCCCACGTGAGACGGTCAAATGTTATCCTGATGTGTTTTTTCGATGCTTTTTTGGCAGGATCGTTATTAATCCACTTAGAACACGCGGTTCGGTGGACTGAGCTCCTCAAGATCGAAACTGCTATTAATAGTCTAACGTGAAAGAATAATATTAATGTACGTCAAGAGTAATAAAATTACATATATAACACTATGTCGTGTATTCTCTATTGACATTTTAGAAAATTAGAATTGATTGGTTTACAAAGGAGCAAATAATAGGTAACTTTTTCGTCGAGCAGAGAATTATTATATAATATTATAATGATATTTGTACAATTTTGGTGAGTGAGCTTCGTACAGTTTAGCACTCTATTGAAGCGCAACTCAATGAAGGAGCGGTACGCCCAAAGCAAACCTAAACACTACGCTGTTCATAGCAAAACGGACCAATCGGAAATTCTAAAATATATTAGAGATCGTATGTGCGAAAGTTGCATTGTCTAGTTAAATAATAAAAGATTCAATAACATCCAAGCACTTCACTAATCTTCATTACTTCCCTAAAAAAACTTATCGTTCCAGGCATAGGCAAAATACCCTTGGCAGACGCGACGCTCATCGAGGATCCGAATGAGCAGTTTCAGTTTATGATTGACGATGGAGAAGGTAAGTGACAGCTCTAAAAGAAGATAAATATTTTCTAAAATCAAGCATCTATTTATACCATAGCCTGATCGAAACGCCATACCTGATCTTGCACATTAACTTAATGTAAGACGATAATTTTGTAGTTCCATAGACAAGAGTAGAGTCGGCCACCGGCAACGAATCGTCTTCGACATTTCGTTTATTCTTTGTATTTTCGTTATTGTAAATTAATTTGGTCAATTGATTTGTGCTTTTCTCTAAGTGGCAGAGTGTAGCACTGAAGAAAGCCCAACTTTTTCGTTTCAATCATGAACAACTAGGTTTATCTTGAAGTACGCCTTGTATCTGACACGAAGTCCCTCGATCTCTGAAATAAATTGTCACAGCGCTTTGACCATAATGAGATTTCTTTTCATCCAATAACCTCAAGTAAGGTCTGATAGTGCTAGTTCAGTGCTTATTATGTCTTTCTACTGAAACATTTAGAGATTAGCAATTCTTGTTATTTTTTAGTCATATAACTAATTCAGCTGGATTCTTACTCGTGAAATTGAGTGGTGCTTCGGCACGATATCGAAAAACCACGGTGTTGATCACAATGCCCACAGGACTTACCTGGCTCTAACTTACTTGAGGCCGCAAGAACTGTTTCTGACAAGAATCACTTAGTCGAGTTTTTTTTTTTTACAATAAAACGAGCCTTGTCACACTTGGACCTATTTTCGCTAAGTTTTCGTACTTGGCATATCAATTTTTAAGTACGTGTCCATCTGTAAGACCATATCAAAATAAGGTAGTTGCTATAGGAGAGCATCTCTCATTGACACACCGTTAACCTAGTTAATATTACGTCAATCTCCATGAAACCAGAAGAAGTTTTTGCCGTACAGTAGAATCAGTGGTACTGATGTTATACCCTCTAGATTAGCTTTGACCGCGTCGTTGATCACTTCGTAGTTTAATAGACATTATACAACATATATATATATATATATATATATAGAGAGAGAGAGAGAGAGAGAGAGAGAGAGAGAGAGAGACAGAACTAATAAAAGAAGTTCTGGCTAATACTTTCGTTAAAACTTCGTAGTGCAATCTGCAAGGTCCTTGTTTTCGTTAAATATTTTTGATTACCATTTGTAGGATTTTTGTAGTTCTAATTTCAATATTGTCAATTTGATCAGCTGACAAAATATTTGATTACTGCCATAAACTATACCAAGAATTATTTCAAATTATTATATCATAGGAACTATTAGAATGTGTCACGGCTAATGGTTTTCAAATAGCTAGAAGGATGAAAATTCTAAGCAAGGTAAATCCAAAGTCGTTCTCACTTGCGCTAGTATCACTAGTTGATTTCAGCTAACTTAATTGACCTGATCATCAAACACAGAGCAGGAACCTTCCTAAAAATACCTTCACTAACTTTTTTAGTCGAAACAATAACTTTTACAAGGAATGATACTTGTGATTTTACATTTACACACAGTTGCGCTTTCAGCGACAAAGCGATGTCTCGGAGAGTTATGATCTCATTAGATAAATTGTCATTTTCCTTTTACCAATTTTTAAAGTTCTTTAAATTATTTTATAAGGATAAAAACACTCTGCATGTAGTTGCCGAATGATCACTCATCAACCTACGTATCAAAAATACCACACCTTGTTCTCATAATGTGAGCCGTATATACTCACGAACCCTCAATATATCTACGCAGATTACCTAAAGCTATTTCATTGGAGGGCACAACTTCAGTAGTGAAGCAAACAGGTGACTATCAGTGAGGTGGACATAGAAACTCCAAATTGCATGTCTGTTGAATCGTCAGCACTGGTCGAATATTTCCTTAATGGTTCCCTCGACATAAAAAAGCAGCGATTTTCCTATTTTCTTGTTCTCTTTTTCGGCGGAGTTGGTCCTGGGCTAGACTTTTTTCGGCCTGTGGGTCCCACGCTTCCTTCAACCGCTACTGGTACTGTCCTGAAAATCGCAAAAAATCCTGAGGCAGTAGATCCTGCAGGGAAAGCTAAACCGCCGCATGTGCAATAAAATTCCCTGAAATTGATTCGTGATGGAACGAATTATCTGCCTCTGGCGCCTGTGCTGGCCTAACTCGTGTCCCGATTCTCCTTAATTTCCCCCACCTTCCCCTTCCCAGTGAACGCGATTGTCACACAGGCGGTAGCAGGGGCTATTCGCTATTAACGAACGGGAAAGAATCCTGGTGGATACAGGCCACTGAAATTCTTGACGTAATTTCAAAGTTAAAGACCTAGAAGCAGAAAGTTCCTCTGAACACCGACAGCATCTTTTCTACTAATCAGTTTTTCCTCAGTTTATCAGTCTACTAAACAGTTTACATAAAAATATCTTGATCTGGTTCTATTCAAATTGTAACATCTCGTAATCAATTAGAGGATTGCTATACATGAGCGGTACGTAAGCTCTGCTTCTATAGAGGACATGCAAAACTAGAAGCATCAGAGAAAGCCAGTTAGGCCATATATATTTCATGTACATTAGCATTATATATTCATGCTATAGCGCATTTTGTAATGATGCGCTGATCGAGTCAACAGCTATTTGGCACATCTATGTATGTATGTGTGTGCTTGGATTAACACAGGAGGGAAAATTGAAAAAAAAAGCCAATTATACTTTTATATATGCACATAATGCTATTTATCAAAACGTACCAGAATTCGTAATAGGAATGATCAGAACCATCTTTCTGTTGTTGTGCACCAAGTTAATAGCACCGATAAAACGCAATAACCAGTTCGATAAATTGTTTGAAACTTCCGAATCTAGACTGTGGACTGTTTTTGGCCCTACTTCAGATATGAGGAAGACCCAGCATTTCTTTACTGCTGCTGGGGAGCGAAAAATTTTTTTTTCGGTTATTGTTTCTTCAATCAGCTAGCAGGGAAAATTAGCCACTAACCTAAGTTATTATTCCCTTCTTTTGTTACTCCTGGTATCCATTTCATACACAGGGTCCATCTGCTCATCGATGAGCAATTGTGATAGTCAACTAAATTTAAACCAGAACAACCAGGCATCTTCTAACGGCCAGGAGAAAGACTACGGAGGTTTAGACTTCAAAATAATCGTCGATTTCAAAACAGGCCCTCCAATTACGATCCATTTGGTAGCACCGACCATGCAGGAGAAGGCTGCCTGGACCTCAGATATCTCCCAGGTGGGTACACTTGTCCTGGCAGGATCAGTTTAAAACTAGGCGGAAACTTGTAGATCATCTTTGACCATACCTCATTATTAGGTAGTTAAATTAAATTCTTTTATTCGTTATTATCAGGTAGATTCGAACACGTGAAATACATAGATCTATAACAACTTTGCATGTCGAACGAACTTTCTAATGATACTATATTACGACATTTCATCATCAAATAGTGTTCGCCGGCAACGTCTTTGGCCTGTTTGATCCTGTGTAAATTATATGGTGTCAGCAGGAGAAGGCGACGCAGAATGAAGCTGTGTACTCCTCAATGAGAAAGTCTTGATTTGATTGAAGCATCTTGACACAAACGTCGTCCAATATGCTGATACGGTAAAATCGCATCTCATCCTTCGCAGTGTAATAAAGCTCCTTAACGTTTTTGTCAAGCCTGAATGGAAGACACGTGGATAACTATTTGCGTATACACTTAATCCTCTCCTAGCATCTAAAGCGAGGCAACAGTATGTGCAAGTGTACTGCGGTGACGATGGGAGAAACGGCACAGATGATTTTTGGTCAATGGGCTTGACCGTGAAAAGCACTCGCGTCCTTTCCGGTCAGCGACAAATGTAAGCCGTAACGGTACACTTGACAACTACGAGTGTACCACATATTGGTTGGACAAGTTCTTCAGTATCAAACCTGAAAACCTCTCTGACGAGCGGAGTGGGCAAATTGATTGAGAGATGGGGCAGGTTACGGGAAACGATGGCGTATACATGAAAAAGTAACCTGCTGTTCGAGTTTGAGCGAAATGCTAGCGAATTTTTTTGTTTAGCTCAAACCCACCATGGCTTTTGTTCCAATATAATAATTCTTCTAAGAAACTTAGAAGAACATATGTGGCCCCTGGTCTACATGTGTCATTGCGAGACGTAACGGGTTCGATGTTCTTTCATATCTAGAGTGTATTTAGGAGCTTTGCATTTGACGCTCTATACTTTCCAAAGCAGATTTCCATACTCTATCCGAAGTTGGTGAGACCACTTTTGTGCTGGTTAGATGATCTGTGCGTATATTTCTTGTACAAACTGTACGGTAATGCCTGGGGACGTATGGGTGTTCTTCATTAGAGTATTCACTTTTTGATTTCCTCTCATTTCCAACTGGCCGCAGAAGACTTCTGACGACGTTAACGATTGTCGATCAAACGATAGGCAAGTCGGCTTTTTTTTCTAATACTTCAAACAGACGATCGAACCTCCACCGCAAAAGTCGTCTTGCCCCTGTTGCCGCTGTGGTGCTTGCTCTCGAATCGCTTCACGTCGTCTACTCTGTCGACCTTCTGGTTCCGTTAAATTTGAAAGCTCGTGATGATTTTGACGTTGTCACTGTTTCGTTGGCCGACGGTCGTTCAGTGAGTCCGACGTACGAAGTAGGATCGGCAAAAAGCTCGGAACCCCGGTTTGCCTGGTCACGCTAATAGCGGCGGGCGGTGAACTTGCGGCCGCAGACTACTCAGCCGGCAGTCAACGCAGTCGAAGCAATCCTCTAAGCTGCACGAGCAGCGACAGCACCGCAGTTAGTGAGTCGCAATCATGGCTCGAATTTCGCATCCGTCCATGCCGGCGAACGGGCTTATCCGCAAGCTCAGGCATGCCAGCAGGAGCAGAAACGATGCAAGCAATGGCAGCAACATAGCAGAGCGATCGTCTTTCACAAAAGCAGCACAAAAAGTTCTTCGTTCTCTGTTTTCCTCTTACCCACCAGTTCCCAGCTGCTCCCCACCTGCCCCGATCTACTTACAGCCTAGTCGCAGAAGGTTCACTAAAGCCCGGAGCACATTGACGGTTCGTGGCCTGCCCCAAACCCCGTCGACCGTTCCGCGTCCCCCGAAGTTTGTTCGGCCTGCGGCAAGAGACGTCTAACTCATAGGCACTTTTCGTAGTTTCTCTTCGTCGAACTCCTGCTGCCTCCTCTCATTTCCTTCCCCTTTCATTAGCATTACTGCTTCACTCGATTTTGAACACGATGTTGCCGACGTTCATTTTATTCTTTTAAATATAATTATGATAATCAGACTGCACGATGACGCATGAACATCGTAGATGTCTCACGTTCGTTCATCATTGACGCTGAAAAATGTTGCGCCGTCACAACTCGCCAACATTTATCTTCTCAAGTATTATGTCTTAGAAAAAGTTGAGATTGCTCCTGTTGGCGGCAGTAATATGTTTCTACTTTAAACGTTCTCTCTATATCTTTTTATCGGTGGGGTTCTAATGACTTGCGTCGAACGAAGTGAGCCACGCTACAGCATCGTTTGAATGTAACCCACAATTGTAAGGATTGGGATGTCATTGGCTAAATAGTTAAATAATTCAAAATGATACGATAGTGGAGCCAAATGCTCATTTTTCGAAAAAATGTCAAAAAAAAATATAATACATATGAATTTCGTTAAAAATTTATGCTAATCTAAAAAAACATCTACATTTATCTATTACATCTAAAATAATGGTAGAAATTCCTGGGAGTCATATGAAGGCTTTTCAAGGAATCCTTTATTAAACAGACTTCTGTTTACGTTCGCGTTAGTTAATTTTTTCTGTCTTCGAGACGGTTATACATATATGATATATTAAACTATTGACAAAATGGTCCTGTTTTATTAGAGTTTGAATATTTTCAACTCATATGACCGTAGAGCTACAGCTTATCTAGGTATTCTGTCACAAAGTACTGAAGGGGGCAATAAGCATGCATATATCCATAATCAATTTTCTTGTCGATCGACTGGGTCGTCTTCGTTTTTTTTGTAAGAAAATATATTTAAGCAGTATTATTGTGATTAACTTCGACGGCCAAGTCTTCCATTTAGAAAGCCCAGAGGTCGCCGCTCCAACTCCCACCGTTGACACACTATATAGAGCCTACGCAAATAAACAGTTATTTATATATACTATATAATGGCAAGGATTAATTTAAAGCTCGGCAAAATAAGGCCAGTATTAGCATTCATTATGCATCTATAGAGCTTTCCTTAAAAAAAAAAGAAGTATACATAAACCTTTACACGGGACCGAGTCAACTAGATAAATCTCCGAGACTTACCGTATCTATATTGATACGAATTATTCCTTGAGCTTACTAACATTAACATTTATTCATTATCGATATGCGTTTTGGGGGGGGGCGTACACACTTTGGATAGCCTCTGTTCAAAGGTAATAGAACATTCGTTCAAACCCTCTTGTCGAGACGTCTTGAACTGTAAAAATTGATCTCTCCTAAAACATCGACACACGATTTTGTACAATGTCATATGTAGCCGAGCGGCAAACTTTCAGGGGAGTGTTCATAGTGTACTCAGATCTATGGGAATAGCGATGCTGTCAATAGGAAAACAAACGAAATGGTTGACCTATGAGGTGAAAATATGAGGAGGATTTGGTAGCAAGCTGGCTTAATTTGGACAATGGCTACGCCGACTGCCATGGCTATTGCTCAATGCAGTTAACTTTGCGGTGGTGGCAGGACAGACGAGCCTCCACTGCTAGTTGTCCCCCTGTATTAAGGTCAGGGTAACCTACATCTTCTGAATATATGATATTATTATTTACCCCCAGCTGTTAAGTTGCTTGCGGCACAGGTCGACTCCTCGGTATTTCTCGGTTTCTCATTTGTCGAAATACTAGTATTATCGCGTAAGCTCTAGTTTAGCCTGCCAGATGTTTTTGTGCTCTTTGGAGCCTGTCGTGCCTCAGACCACTTCGAACGGATATACCAGCCGGCTGGATTAAAACAACCTTATACGATGTTGCATCATTAGGCTCTGTTTAAACGATTGATGTCGGGTTCATCGTCACCAAACCATGACATCTACCCGGATCGGGTACACCCACCAGTTCCTACCGCCATTCTGGATAGCTCGGATTACTGGGTTGGGTGTCCTCTATATTTCAGTTTTTTACATCCTGTATCGCCCTTAGACACAATTCCATCAGGCAGGCAGACGGCTGACTGGCGGCCATTCATCGCGCCTGTACGCCTATGCCTGGGTTCGAACCTAGATTACAACGTGGCTCTAAGATTAAAAAGCAAATACATTACTTAACACGGGGACCGGTTGCATATCCTAAGTGACGTTACTTGCTGACCTCCGTCATTCTGGTAGACGCTGCACTTCTGATAATCTAGCAACCTGAATAGCAATCTTACGGCAAATGGATGTATGGATGGAAATCGAGTAAGCATCGACTGATAACAAGAATACAAAAAAGGCAAACTACCGGTTATGCACGCTACGAATGAAGGGTTTTACAGGAGGAAAGAGAACGGTCTACCTATTAGCTAGTCTTACTGGCGACATAAATCATATTTTCGCTGACCTAGTCAACTTAATCGTTACTTACAACTCCTGTTGTTGTTACTACTATTATCGTTATTATTATCGTTATTGTCGTTGCATCTTCTTTCTATTTGTGATGGATTTGTTATGGATGTCGTTTGTTTTTTTTTTTTTTGCTTATTATTTCAGTGCATTGACAATGTGCACTTTAACGATCTGTTCCACGGAACCCTGAGCGACGCGTCCTCGATCACGATGCCTCACTCGATAAGGAACGATTCCCGCCTGTTCAAGGACGATGTAGACATCCGCTTCAGTCGAACCCTCAACTCCTGCAAGCTCCCTCAGATCAGATACGCCAGTCCAGAACGGCTGTTTGAGAGACTCACCGACCTACGTTTCCTATCGATTGACTTCCTCAATACGTTCTTGCTCACATACCGAGTCTTTACCGACGGCGTTAAAGTGCTCGAGGCACTTAAAAAGGTAAAAATAAAGAAGCTATTCATTTTTATTTTGAAAACTACTATTATTGGATGTTCGTAGCAGCCTCCGGTCCATTCGACTGAGCAATAAAAGCTCGACAGTCTTCAGTGCTACCTTTGATTCTCTCCAAGTCAGCGATGAATGGTCATCTATTTACAGTCAAGCAAACGACTTAAAAGGACCGGGCAGCAGAACAAGAAAGTGGTATTTATGAAGGAAGAGTTTAAGGCTAATTCTGTTTAGCTTTCCTCCGCGTGCATGTCGATTTCCTGCATTTGCTGCTGACTGTATGTAGGTGTCTCTACCTGCCTGCGAACCTGTGAGCCTTTCATCGATGTGCACGTAACGCAGCATTGTTTTGTACGGCTGTATGTGCGTATGTTATACTAGCTTCTTTAATTAACTCACTAAACACCAGTTCACTCCAACCTAAGCGGAAGAATGTAGGATGAGAAAAGCGGTTAGGCAAACTAGCGAGCTCGCTAGTTCGAGCGAGGAAAATCAGTAAAAGTATGCCTGCCGTTCTATTGCATACCCTCTCCAGGCAGACTTGGCCTGAGAAAGCAAGGTTTGCTGCCGCTGTGTTGTTCCAATCAGCGTTACTCTTTCGTCGACTGCAGTCGCGCCTTTGCCTCGAGCGCTGTGCGGAGAAACTCGTAGCAAACTGCAATGGTACGGACCGGAACAGAGCTAAGCTCCTCCCTCAGCCTGCTAGCACTGTTTTAGGTTTCCTAGAAGCAGCTATTGCAGGGATAAAAATTGGCAATTCATCCTTCTTGGTTCATTCGCATCGACTCGTCTGCAGGTGCACTACCAACCAGAACTTCAGAACAATGACGACGCCGCCGGTCTGCTAGGCGAGGGTCCGCCACACGGCGTCATGCCTGGCTCCGGAGATCCCGACATTCATATGAGATTAGCCAGCATGCTCGTGGTCGATTATGATTACTCTCGTCGAGTGAGCTCGGCCAGCATGAACAGCGAGTGCGGGGGCGACAGCAATATGGCGGCCGGCCCCGGGGGCCACGATATGCACCGGGGCTCGACTGTTTCCGCCAGCGACCTCATCGCGAACACTTCCAAGATCACAACGACGCACACTGCCGCCGCTACACCTGGATCCACCGGTAAAAAGATGCCCATATAAATTATATAAATAGTAACAACAACAGTAATACATAGTGTATTAAGAGCTAAAATACCTACACTTTATTCATTAGTGCTGAATCGTAAAGCACGAATTATACATAAACATATATAACAGTACCTTCAATGGCGTTACAACTAAAGCTTAGCTTTTTGTTATTACGTACATGTACTTATATATCAATTTTAATCAACGAATTCTTAGTGTTTTGGACAAAAGAAAACCGTAGACAATAGGAGATAGTAAACGTGTACATTGTGTAATTTGTGCCCTATAAGCTTAATGGACAGCAATGTATGCGGCAAACTATAGAAAAGTTGTGCAATAATCTTCAGGAAGAAAGCGCCGTCTTGAAAATGTTCTTTAATTGACCACATATATATGTATGGATTTACTAACGTATACCATATATACACATAACTAACAACCAGTCGGTATAAGCACGCCGTATCTAAGCTTGCGGCAATGATGTTGCCATAATAAACATCGGAAACATATTTTTTCCCATTTCGTCTAGATTCAACCTATATCATTGGTGCTTATTAACATGTTAAAAATGATCGCATACTGATGGCGCCGTATTTTTCTCGGCTACAAAATGTATTTCTTTTTGCCGAAGTGAGTCATTCAGGGTCGACATAGGTTTAAAATTACGTAGAGTTCTCCGGTCTTTTCTTCTCATCGCTGGTCTTCAATTCACTTAGTCACACGTCAATAGGGAACTATGACCGCCAATATTTGTTTGTCCGATACGAAATAGCGGCAAATATTACATGGAGTAACCTTTTATGAGAAACGTAGTCTAAAGGTCATTTAGTTATATTCCGATTTAGGACTTCCTACACTCATACAATGAAATTCACTCAGTGGTACGATCAACACATATCCTTCACGCCTTTTTTCTTGAGATTATTGTTGGGGAACGCTGACATGTGGCGCCCGCCACTGTTTGTTGCAAAAAGTAAAGTAGGTATTGCGATATAGGGCTATTGTGCATCTCGAAGCGGAAGCATTATTGTATAGCCAGACGTTAGATATACTGCCCTTATATATACAGCCTCTCCTTTGTTTTTTCCTACCTCTAACGGTTCTCAAGATAATGACGACTTTACTAGAGTTAACGATCTGGTCACAAATAGAGCCATGAGCCGCCATGTTGTTTCTGCTCTTTCAGTAACATTTAGTGATGGATCTATGTAGCACAGAAGCTGGATACAATGTAAACCAGCTATACTACAGTGTATTCAGGATAGATAAAGTGGCCATTGGCTCTTAATGTGATAGACATACGTTCATTGAACCGGTCTTGATTGGCCATCGCATATTACGTTCTAGACTCATCTACCGACATATTTGCTTTACAATTCAATACAAAAGTTCAGTCTTTAAATACTTTATACAAATCGTCACCAATGATTGTGTAGTTAGACTTACAAACCCTAACTTCAGGATACATTTGCTGGTGCATCGTTATAATCCCATCAAACTTTAGCAGACCTGCAGTTTTCTAAAAAATCATCGCAGACATTTCATTAGCTAAGCTGTGATGCTGCATGGTCCAATGAATCAACAATTATTTATATGCTGTATGCCGATAAATAAGAACTCCGTTAATGGTAACATTTTTGAAAAAGTTCTAATCATATAAAATGATTAGATAATGTTAGCAAAGCACGCGATAAAGAATACGTTAAAAGCTGAGCTGAAAGTTTAAAGTTCGCCTGTTACGGCAATTGCTCATCTAACTTTTGCTATGTTGCATAAAAAAGTTCGACGTAGTTGTTAAAATCGCGCATAAATGAAAAAGGGTAGCGCCATTCCAAATCGTTGTGCAAATCGTTCCATTGTGCAAATCTTCATTATTGGCTCATTCTTCAAGTACCTTGGAACAATCGAAAACCGAAGGAGAACTTCGCTGGAAGATATGCATAGTTTGTCTCGCACCTGTACGGTCACAATTGCACTTTACGCAGGATATACAACCTTATTGACGGTGCTATATATATATATATAATCGTATAGAGACCAAAATATTTATAAAAAAAATAGCCCATGCATAAAATGCTTCTGACAGGTGAAGCCAACGCTGTGTTAGGAGGAAGTCTTATTTTTATTGGCCTTATTAATGGCGGACTTGGTATTTATAGACTGTTTTTCGCTGTGGCAGAACACAGTAGAATCAACTGTCTGATTCTGTTTCCAATACGCAAGGATGACAATAAGCCGAAATTGATTTCATAGATTTTTCAAGAACCGAAATTTCACCACATTTTTGCTCATTGGTACACGCATTTCTACTAAGGCGCGCGTTATAAACCGGTCAGACAGAGTATACTGATATGAAGACAATTTACTCAAATCGTCTGCTGCGACATATTCTGCTTTTGGTCGCGGTTTAATGCTGACAATACATTTATGTAGTATTAGTACTTCCACGCGCGAATAACGCTTGACTTACAGAGACATTGTATAATTGTGTTACAAGTACTATTGGCTTATTCTTTTGATCGAACGCATAGAATGGCTCTATACGAAAGGACAATCTCATTGGAGGTTGAGTCATAGAAGGCTGGAAGAGGGTGACTCACCCTCCAAGCGACGAATGGCCGATACGCTGGCTGACAAGCCCATCGACGAGGCCGGCGAGGAAAACGCGTCCACCTCCAAAGACATTCAAGCTTGTGGTATGGACCACCATCTTGACCAGCAGCACGGTCAACGGCAACAAGGAAACTCTAGGCGATCGTCTACAGTACCGTCCTCAGAACGGGAGAATCTCCACGCGCCGATTGCTGTCAGCGAATCACTCAGTGATACCGCGTCGATTGTAGAGCAATCCACGCCTACCGCAGGTAGGTGCAAGCGGCATTTCCTACCTAACGATCAACCTACCTACGTACCCACCGACCTGTGTAGTTGTCGAACCCCGTTTAACTATAGTCCCGCACTTTTACTTCCGACACTTAATAAGGCTCGCAGTTCGTAACGTCTATGTCTTCCTTGTAAATACAACGCCATAAAGATTTTTTACAAATATACGTGCGCCCACCTTAAACGCCGCTGGCAACTGGGTGGCATCAATGACGGTACTAGCACAGTGAATATGTGAATGAGCGACTATTACAATGTACACGAGCGTATGCATATGCTATGCTTGTCTCATACACAAATCTGTTAGGTCTCTGTCGTTTTCTGAAATCACTCGAAATACTTCGATAGTTAAGAAAAAACATTATCAATATATGTGATTTCTGCCTATACCACTGACCATAATCTGCTAATCATTACTCATGTCATCACTCAAGCACAAAGGGTACAATTCAAATAGGATTTGGAGTGCTGATATAAGTAGTGACGTATGGAGTACGGACAAGTGGCAGACGTCAGCGCGGTTGATGCGTTTGCTAGTACCTCTGTGTCCTTTTGGTCGCACGAATACCTATGTTTCGAAAAAGAGAGTCGAAGCATCTAGCTTATAGGAAACTCAAAGTGTACGTAGTTTATTGCCCTCTGTCTAGGTAACCTCCAATGGGCCAGGCCAACAATAGGCAGTGACCCTTCTCGATCTTAGACCAGACGAAACGCGACTCATCGTGAAAAAGCTTCAATCCCGCACGACCTCAAACAGTGATTGGCGAATTCCATTATAGAAACGCCAGTGGACCCAGCAAACTTGAACCTGCAAAGCGAGGAACAATGGTCAACAGGGCAAAGCAAGGCAGTTCGGCATGGGTCATCGATTTAATAAGGAGACTTGGCAACCAGCCCCTATTCAAAAGAAACTCGCTAGGCTCCTTCAGAATTCGTTTTAGAGTCTGCTATGTGGGCTCTTCTTTTTAACGTCCCCGTCACACCTACCCGCGCTTCAACTAACTCCCCAATTTTAGCCAGGCTCCCATCAACCACTTTGCTCCAAATCACTATGCCCAGTGAGTCGACTTCGAATTAATAGCCTCGTCTCTACATGATTGTGAACGTTAACTGAAGCGCAATGAAGCAGATTCATTGGAATAAATGAGAGCACTTTCCTGCTGTCGTTTGCAATTGGATACGAGGTTTTTGGGGGACTCTGGCCCTATCGTACTAATAGTTCCTTCAAGTTTTTTTAGTTCAGCGTCGGTATACTATTCTATAATTCTAAAATCACATCTATAACAATATCAAAGAAAATTTCTCAGTAACTCGAAATATGTCACAGCCATTACCATTTTCGATCTATGCGTTACTATCTGTTGCTTATGGCTAGCGAAGCGATCTATAGTCATATTTGCAGTAGGATTTTAACGGCCTCATACTTGGGCACACCTTGTCAATCAAACGCAGATCTATCAGCTTAGGGAAAATAATGTATTCGAATTTGGCGTCCAATACTGTGGTGGTAAATAATGGTTCAGACGGTCAGCTCCTACCTGGAAACGAACCGCATCTTCTTTGCACGATTTTGGACTCTGACTACCACTGCGGTATGACGGGAACAAAATCTATTAACTTAGATGTTACCAAGTTGTCTTTTCGACCAGGTTTTATTGCCAACATTTAGAATGCTTTAATCAACAAATCCTTTATTGAAATTAAACGTATCTAAAACGTTTCTCTCGACAATTGTGTCAATAAAGTTATCTGCAAGCAATCATTTGTGATGGTGAATGATGATTAGGATGGCCCTGTACCTTTTAGATATTTATTGAGCTTAGAACTAGAGACAAGGTATTCGAAATTGCCGCCTATGCCTACATATCTACAAATGGTCGTTATACTTCTAAGACATTATCCGGCGCAATGCCAAGTTAATCTGCACACCTTGCATGCGCAGGAACGTTGTGTGCCATACGTTATTAGAGTAATTGTGTATAGCATGTACGACCTTATCCGAGGTTTTAACAAGCACGCTTACTTTATTTCGCCGTTACTGTTACTGTGTTTTGTGTACTTGTTTTTCCTTGTGTTCGTCTCGCTTTGTCACTTGTGGTGCAGATGGCGATGCAAATGGAAGGAACTGCATCGTCATCAGAAATGCAGACGACGTGGATGAATCGAGTAACAACCAAATCGGCCAAGGACTCACCCATGCCGGTGTAACTTTAATGGCAGGTTCGATCTCTGCAGCTGGTACGACCGTTGCATCGGGTAGTCAAGCGCCAGCAAACGTTAGTGGGCTTACCAACGGCAGCCAGACGGCATCGAGTGTTCATGCGACGCCATCGAGGGTAAGCAGAAAACAACAACCAATATTGAAAACACTTTTCACCTAACTGTGTTATATATATGTATATATAAGATAGCATACAGAATACGGACATCTCTAGCCCTTTGCATTGTTGCATGGCTGCGGCAAAATTACGGACTTGAAATTAGCTTATAGCCTTTTACCTTAACATATACGACTTGCCCATGCGGACGCTTAGCTTTCGAAAAATGAGACTGTAAAGTGATCGAATAAAAACAAAGTTTGTAAATTATACCAATCGTTGGGAAAATCGCAAAATTAAAAATCATGATTTTATGATTCAAAAAAATTGATTTTTTTGTCTCATTAAGCTTTCATGTTAGAAACGGTAAGATAAGCCATTAGGCTTAAACGTAACATTCGCTTTAAACCAGGTAGGCCAAGAGTCGAAAGGTCGTAAGTGAATAGAATAGGACACACATATTCCATATACATGTGGCCACTTTAACTGGAAAAAAATCCCAACGCGAAGCGAACATCTCCCTTAAACAATGATTTAATGCAATTAGAATACGCACCTGTCATTATTGGGGGCTCGAGTATCGAAGGTATAGCAGTCCTAATTCGACTGTACATCATGGAATTTCTGCTCTTTATTCAACAGGCAGAAGGGACGGAGAACAGACATTTTATGAGATCGAGTGAACAGGAACGTGATTCTGTTTACTTGTCCAGTAAAAACGGGCAGCTCAGAAACCAGTTGAACTATCTGTTTCGTAGGAACTTCGTCTATCTTGACAACATTAAGATTGATCTGGTCGATGATACAATTTGCAGATACTCGACCAAGACAACTATTGGAGAAGAAACGATAGTGTATGGGTCAACTTAGGGTCTTCGTATCTTTTAGCGGAGGTTGTGAATTTGCTTCGGCCTTCAAAGGGTCGTCGGGACAACTTCTCGATCACAGCTGCTAGTCTTCTTTCCAGGTAGCCTTTAGGCCCTCCACAGCTGCTTGATTTTGCCAACAGCATGTGGCCACATTGATTCGCCCTGCGGGTCCGTTAGTTTCCCTTCCCTCTTGTCCCCCACTGCAAACTTCCCAAGGGGAAGCAACCCCCGAAAGTCTGCGGTGACCGAACAACCACTGAGGATATTAACTTGAGTACATAAAGATGTACGAGTAATCCGAGAGAAAAACTCAAGTGGGTCATAGTAATTATAGCGGTCTACGACAGCGATAATAACACCAAACACTGAATTAGGAGTATTATTAGATAAAATCGTCTTCAAGGTTATACGCAACTCTATTTACGTGGTTACAGTACGCAGAATTAGTGCAGTGATAGAACTGACGTTATATTTAAGCGAGATTTTATTTAATACAGCAATGATTCTTTGACCCTTCGACGTCCGGTTCAGCTTTTTCTGGAAAGAGCGGAATTTTTAATTCCGACAATTGATCTTAATGTCCTTTCAGCAATATCAATTACTACGAAGTTATCGTGACTTTTCTTATCTTTCGCATAACTTAAGGATGCACTATTGGCTATAATAGGGTAACTGTTGAAACCCGAAAGACACGCACTAATTTCTGACTTGGCTTCCTTAAATGAGTATTTAAATATATTACGAGATCAAACGTACACCACTGTTCTACGTGACCTTTTACCTCAATCGTCGCATTTCATCTTTCCGGTGCGGTCCGCCACTGTGGTTGCTTAGCTGAAAATGGCTGGTCGCTTCTGAGAGGTGGAATGGCGAAGGACACAAGGAGAAATTACAGTCGTTATAGGCTATATTTATTTACTGTTGTAGCACTATGACTCCAACCGTTCAGCTCTGATCTTCCTCTGCCGAACTGGTCTGGGCTTTCTCTCAGGGCAAAGCATCAGGGCAAAGTTTTGTGGATGCCTGTTGCTTCATCGCAGTCCATATATGACGTATCCCTCACGTAACGATCCACTAGAAAATCGAAACAAAAAAGAGTGATTTTTTTTATGTTTTTACGATCGTTATCAATCTAAGCGGTAATGATTGCATCAAAGCACAATGGCTATACGGATGTTCGGGATAAACTAGAACGAATTAACATTGCTCGTTTATAAGCGGTATCTACATAAGAACATAAATTCGTATGAAACTTGGTGCGTAGACTTGATGCACCTTTGACGAATTTAATTGTCCTTCAATTGCGTCACGGATTCGAAGCTACCCATTTACGGATCTATGTCAAAAAGAATCCTATGCATTATTATTTCAAAGCCCCTTGCATCGGCGTTGTCATATCAAAACGTATTGTACTTTCGCTCATACACGGCCATACCACGAATTCAAAATATCGTAAATTACAAAACGGTCATTAGCCTTCTTTGTAACGTATTCTTATATTCTGTGTTAATTTAGCTATATGAGAGCTTACGCAATTTTGTTTATAGGTGTACAGCCTACTATACATAGTAACCATCCAGAGTTTCACTAAAGTTTTTGAAACTTTTTTTTTTGCTACTGATACGCCTTTCGGACAGAAATGTAGCGGCATGGTACCTCCTGCACTAAGAACAACCCCTAAGTGTCGACACCGGCTAAAAGTTTGCTTGGGCCAACAATAAGCGCAAAGTCCGCAACGATAAACAGCTTGTTAAAATGCATCCCAATTTTTCACGAACGCACTTTAATGTGCAATGTAGTGGGCGAGCTGAAATCGGTAACAGGGCAGTCGTGACGATGACACCGACCACTCAGGGAAACAGCAACATATGGTATAAAATGGTTGCTGTGTGGCCTGTTGAGACTTTCACAATCCTTTTCGCAGGAAAAGGTGGCCTTGTCTGACAGAACCGGCTGGATGTCCTCTCCTAGCGGGCTTGCTGACTTACAGTTACAAACGCCCCATCTTGCTTCTTGCGTTTAATAGGCAACCTCACAGCGTTGCAGCCTCCCGGCTTCACGACCAGAAGCGGGGTGCCGCAATCTTTGCGTCGAGACTTTCGTACTGCCACCGCAAGTTTGCCATAGTGGGGCCTGTTTGCGTTTCGCCGCTCGCCACTACGCCTGCATGTGTACGTGTGCGCAAGTGCCCGTGTATAGAATAACCGAGTTCGGACAAGCAACGAAAAGAAGCTACGCAGACAAGAGCAAGAAGAAACAGGAGAGAAACGAAAGAAAGAGACGAAGAATGATCGGATGACTCTTACCGGGAAAAAGCCTATCTGAAAGGCGTGTGTAACAGCAGTGCCAGGGGCAGGAATAACAGGAACACCAGTGGTAGATGTTCCTGCTGCAATTTCCACAACTATCACCACAGCTGCTGCTAGTTCTGCAGCTTCAGCCATTAGTATTGCTACGGCTGCTGCTATTGCCTCTACGTCCGCTCGTCGCCTAAGGTGATGCAAGATTGTCTCGCCCTTCTATCCGCTGCTGCATAGTGGCCACGTTTCTGTTATGCTGCCTGACTTGCCACGTCAGACACCTAGCCTTAGGTGCTAGCCTATGATAGGGCCGGGTAGGCATTGTGAATCGTCGACTTGCCAATACTGCTTGCCCGCTGGCTTACTTGCGAGCTACCTAGCCGCCAGCTGTGACGATTCTGCTCCAAGTAGCCGTTAGCGGATCGTGGGCTTTAAACCCAGGGTGTCTGTCAGATCAGACTACCCTTGTCTTATACACCTTCTTCCATACGTTGACCAAATATCATCTTGTTCCTGCACTCTGACTGACCGACAGTCAGCCGGTAGGTCTTTTGCGGCAACGTAGTTGCTGAGCGGTCGTGTTAGGTCACACGAGTAACAGTCATAGTAACAAAATTAAAACCTGCAGACGAGTTAAAAAAGACAAAATAGGCTATGATGCATGATAGGACTGGGGATCACAGCCCCCGCTAAGGGACGCGAGTAGCTAAAGTGGGTCGGTCGAATAGAAATAGAAAAAGAGGAGGCTGGGAAATGGGACAGTGTAGATGATCACTACCTCTGTTACGATTGGGAAACTGCTGTTATACAAACAGACCACTAGGCATAAGAACGCACAGGCACACACGGAGTGGTAGGATAGACTTTACTGCTGCTATTGTACCTACGTGTTCACCTTTTTTGAGGTTTCGACGCACTACCCCTTGACCAGCATCCCAAGCAGTCTACCAAATTACAAATATATCTGGGTTCCTCCTTCTGTTTGCGTGTCCTCCCGCGGCGTCAGGCCTCCATCCTTTGCCACCGAACGATTTGAAGCAGCGACGGCAATGGTCCTCCGCATGCGACTATTGTAGTGCTACTTCGAACGCCGCTGTTACTGTTTTCAAGCCGGAACAGAGCACGCAGTATAGTACAGAGAAGAAAGGCAGCGGTAGCGGCACAGCCGTTGCCATCAATATTATCTGGAATTACCTGATCAAAAAAGCTACATTTTGTTGCAGTACTACTCTGAGGGCACATACATATAAATAAAGCCGACGACCATTAAAAGCACGACGGTGTCAGAGCCGGATAAACAAATTATTATTGTCCATAGTACATAAGGTACATGTTCAATGTTGCCTCACGTTACATGAAATGCTTGACCCAGCCCGAAAGGGAACATATTAATATAATAATTAATTATAATTTAATTAATATAATTTAAAAGAAGATGGCTCGATCGAATCTGCTGCATTCAAAGTATGAATAAGAAATGTTTTTTTAATACGCAACTTTTTACCACTGGGATGGAAACGCGCGTATAGACAGACGGGCAGTGGCAAGTTTAACAAGACCAAATTTAATGACTAATGTGTTTGCACACGGAAAGTCAACGTTATAGCATCTACCACTGGGACAATGGCGGCCTAGAAACCGTACGTAATACTATTTACTGCAAAGGTATACCAATTCCGCAAAGTTAGAGTGGAGTCGCTTCGTGAAATACTTGTAATCGCTTTGAGCATGACCCGGCTTTGGACCACCTTTTCCGTCCGTTGGATTCATTAAGAAAAGAGGAACGAACAGGTGAATGAGTAGTGAATGGAGATAGACGCAGCAATTACGTAAAATTTATATCAAGTCG